ATCATTGACTGAAGTATCAGTCCAGGGAGCTCTTGTCTCTCTTGCTTCCTGGGTTTGAATCCCAGTTAATCTAGTTTTAATAGTAAGTTCCATCTATCATTCACTGAAGTATCAGACCAGGGAGCTCTTCTGTCCCTTCCTTGCTGGGTTTGAATCCCAGTTTCTCTAGTTTTAATAGTAAGTTCCATCTATCACTGACTGAAGTTTCAGTCCAGGGAGCTCCTGTCTCCAATATTTGCTGGTCTTAAATCCCAGTCGCCGTAGGTGCATATTACTTTGAAAATCAGTTACAAAATTCACAGAGCAACAACAATTTCCTCGAAAACCGGAAAGAAGCGAAAAATTTTTAGTAAAGAAAAAACAAAATTTAAAGGCTTACAAAACATTAGTTTTGTGACAAAAGCTGAGATATGGCATGACCTAACGAAAAGGGAGGTGGCCTGTGCAGTATCCGAGACGCACGTGAGTGCAACGGCCACATAAATTGGGGGACCTCCGCTTGCGTCCAGACCGGGACACCTGGGCATGAGCGCTTACAACAGACTTGTTTCGTGACAGAAGCTGAGATATGGCATGACCCGATGAGCGGTACACCGCTTCGGCCCGTGCAGTATGACTCGTAAAGCTCTGCACCACTGCAGAATGAGTCGATAAGCACTTGAGTGCAACGGCCGTTTTCTTATCAGGTGCCCAATACATCACCTGTCGGTCAGAGGCAACCACCCAGACCTCGGTGTAACTGATGGCTCAGTACCACTCTCACCGCATAAGTAGACAAGCACCCTGTGGAATGCACGAAACCCTCCACCTGGCTTGAGGCCACTGTATTGGCAACAATAGGCCAACTTTGTTTTTGGAATCCCCTTTTACTACTTAAAGCTGCTATTTTAAATTTATTGAAAGAATTGCTGCTGCTCAAACAGTATAATACTATTAATAATTAAAGGTAAAGACGTAATAAACTTGATTTAATTCTAGAATTAGGGTATAACTAAAGGTTCAACTGCCTGCATAATAGACTGTCACTCTAGGCATTACTTATCTCACTTGCTGTGTTGGAATTTCTGTAAATGCTTTCTTTTAACAGTAAGTTTCATCTCTCATTGACTGAAGTATCAGTCCAGGGAGCTCCTGTCTACCTTGCTTGCTGGGTTAGAATCCCAGTTTACTTAGCTTTAATAGTAAGTTTCATCTGCCATAGACTGAAGTATCAGTCCAGGGAGTTCCTGTCTCCCTTGCTTGCTGAGTTGGAATCTCAGTTGCCGTAAGTGCATATCACTTTATCCAGTTTCTCTAGTTTTAATAGTAACTGCCATCTATCATTGACTGAAGTATCAGTCCAGGGAGCTCTTCTCTCCCTTGCCTGCTGGGTTTGAATCCCAGTTAATCTAGTTTTAATAGTAAGTTCCATCTATCATTGACTGAAGTATCAGTCCAGGGAGCTCTTGTCTCCCTTGCTTGCTGGGCTTGAATCCCAGTTTGTCCAGTTTTAATAGTAAGTTCCATGTATCATTGACTGAAGTATCAGACCAGGGAGCTCTTGTCTCCCTTGCTTGCTGGGTTTGAATCCCACTTTATCTAGTTTTAATAGTAACTTCCATCTATCATTGACTGAAGTATCAGTCCAGGGAGCTCTTGTCTCCCTTGCTTGCTGGGTTTGAATCCCAGTTTATCTAGTTTTAATAGTAACTTCCATCTATCATTCACTGAAGTATCAGACCAGGGAGCTCTTGTCTCCCTTGCTTGCTGGGCTTGAATCCCAGTTTATCTAGTTTTACTAGTAAGTTCCATCTATCATTGACTGAAGTATCAGTCCAGGGAGCTCTTGTCTCTCTTGCCTGCTGGGTTTGAATCCCAGTTAATCTAGTTTTAATAGTAAGTTCCATCTATCATTCACTGAAGTATCAGACCAGGGAGCTCTTGTCTCCCTTACTTGCTGGGCTTGAATCCCAGTTTGTCTAGTTTTAATAGTAAGTTCCATCTATCATTGACTGAAGTATCAGTCTAGGGAGCTCTTGTCTGCCTTGCTTGCTGGGTTTGAATCCCAGTTAATCTAGTTTTAATAGAAAGTTCCATCTGTCATTGACTGAAGTATCAGTCCAGGGAGCTCCTGTCTCCCTTGCTTGCTGGGCTTTAATCCCAGTTAATCTAGTTTTAATAGTAAGTTCCATCTATCATTAACTGAAGTATCAGTCCAGGGAGCTCTTGTCTCCCTTGCTTGCTGGGTTTGAATCCCAGTTTATCTAGTTTTAATAGTAACTTCCATCTATCATTGACTGAAGTATCAGTCCAAGGAGCTCTAGTCTCCCTTGCTTGCTGGGCTTGAATCCCAGTTTCTCTAGTTTTAATAGTAAGTTCCATCTATCATTGACTGAAGTATCAGTCCAGGGAGCTCTTCTCTCCCTTCCTTGCTGGGTTTGAATCCCAGTTTATCTAGTCTTAATAGTAAGTTCCATCTATCATTGACTGAAGTATCAGTCCAGGGAGCTCTTGTCTCCCATGCTTCCTGGGTTTGAATCCCAGTTAATCTAGTTTTAATAGTAACTTCCATCTATCATTGACTTTCTTATCAGTCCAGGGAGCTCTTGTCTCCCTTGCTTGCTGGGTTTGAATCCCAGTTTATCTAGTTTTAATAGTAAGTTCCATCTATCATTGACTGAAGTATCAGTCCAGGGAGCTCTTGTCTCCCTTGCTTGCTGGGTTTGAATCCCAGTTTATCTAGTTTTAATAGTAACTTCCATCTATCATTGACTGAAGTATCAGTCCAGGGAGCTCTTGTCTCCCTTGCTTGCTGGGTTTGAATCCCAGTTAATCTAGTTTTAATAGTAAGTTCCATCTATCATTGACTGAAGTATCAGTCCAGGGAGCTCTTGTCTCCCTTGCTTGCTGGGTTTGAATCCCAGTTTATCTAGTTTTAATAGTAACTTCCATCTATCATTGACTGAAGTATCAGTCCAGGGAGCTCTTGTCTCCCTTGCTTGCTGGGCTTGAATCCCAGTTTATCTAGTTTTAATAGTAAGTTCTATCTATCATTGACTGAAGTATCAGTCTAGGGAGCTCTTGTCCCCCTTGCTTCTTGGGTTAAATCCCAGTTAATCTAGTTTTAATAGTAAGTTCCATCTATCGTTGACTGAAGTATCACTCCAGGGAGCTTTTGTCTCCCTTGCTCTCTGGGTTGGAATCCCAGTTTATCTAGTTTTAAGAGTAAGTTCCATGTATCATTGACTGAAGTATCAGTCCAGGGAGCTCTTGTCTCTCTTGCTTGCTGGGCTTGAATCCCAGTTTATCTAGTTTTAATGGTAGCTTCCATCTATCATTGACTGAAATATCAGTCCAGGGAGCTCCTGTCTCCCTTGCTTGCTGGGTTGGAATCCCAGTTTATCTAGTTTTAATAGTAAGTTCCATATATGATTGACTGAAGTATCAGTCCAGGGAGCTCTTGTCTCCCTTGCTTGCTGGGCTTGAATCCAAGTTTTTCTAGTTATAATAGTAAGTTCCATCTATCCTTGACTGGTTACTGGGCTTGAATCCCAGTTTATCTAGTTTTAATAGGAAGTTCTATCTATCAGTCTCTAAGTAATAGTAGTTCAATAATAGTAATAATAATAGTAATAGTGCACCTGGTTTAAATCCCAGGTGACCTGGTTTTATATTAATCAATGATTCATAAATTGTGAAATCCTCTATGTATTAGTCTAAGGATCATTGGGTTTGCATCCTAGGTGACCTTGTTGTATATTAGTTTATTTAACACAGTATCAATAATCCAGAACAATAATTTACCTCTTGACTCCTGTCTTTAATTGAATTCTTTTAGGTCATTCTTATCATATTATCTGTAATGGACAAAGGAAGGATTATATATTGACCTTAATATGTATTAGCTGCTGTACTGATGGTTTGGTTGTTTGACATTTGTTTTTTTTTAATTCTATGTTGAATCTATAAAACCCTAAAGACCCTTAAAATGAGTGGGATATGTAGCATTATGTGTCATGTCATCAATCATGCAAATATTTGAATTCATTTTGACCTGCTCTTAATGTGAAGTTTACCCATCATGCCAAAACATACATGCTTACTCTTCCAGATACCACACCAATCTCCTGGTCTCCCATATGGGTCACCAAATCTCAAGATATCAGCTTTTCTGTGCATAATTTATTTCAAATTTATCACATTTTCTCCCAAATTTGAATTTTCTTTGAAGCATAGTTCAGTTTGATTCTGATCGAGGGTTGGAAAGGGGGTTTTCCATGAACCATGAACGCCTATTTTTAATTGCCATGAATTGTGAACAAAAGATTTTTTTTTTCATAATCAGTCAACAAAAGCAATCGCGTGATTCATGAAATAACTAATTTATTTTGTTGAGATTGGTGAACATGGTCTATAACTAGCTAATTTTTTGTGAAATATTCAATGTAAACTTTCGAGGATTTTGATATCAAGGTCAAGTCTGTCAACAAAGATGAACAAAATGCCACGCTCATGCTAAACACCTCTAGACATCACATGATCAAATGCAGTTGTGAATTATCGTAAATTTAGTATTTTAGGGTGTATGCATAGCAGTTGATACCTCAGTTTTGCAATACTATGTGGGCGACAAATAAAATCAAACGCTAAAAAGTCTGTTTTTATTCCCGTGAACTGTGAAATTTTGATTTTAATTCCTGTGAACCACGCACGACACACCCCCCCCCCCCACCCCCTTTCCCGCGGTCGTTTCCGGGGAATTTTTGCACTTGTTTCATCCCTGACAAGATTATTTCACCATTATGATCATAGAAGCGAATTGTGATAGTCTGTACCTCATGTAAGATGTAATTTTATGTCCTAAGGTTATTGGGGTGTCGGGGTTGTAGGGCGCTGGTGGGGTTTTGGGGTCTAGGGGGGGTTGGGTTGGTTGTTGATATTCAGGGTGGGGAGAAGAGGAGAGGTTGGCATCTCTGCTCTAATAATGTATAAACACATTTCATAATTTACCTCTTTTGATTTTAGTTAATTCTTCTGATCACTTTATACACCATGTACCATATTATCTGTAAGGGATAAAAAAAATGAACATAATTATAATGAACATTGCATGTTGCTTGGTTAATTAATTATTATGTATACCTACAGACTGTACATGTATGTCCTGACATTCTAGTTATAAAGGTTTTGGTGTTGTAATTCTACATGAATGTGAGTGCAACTAGTACTACAACAACAACAACAACAACAACAACTTTATTCTTTATACAAAAATAAAAGAGTTGAATAGTTTGCCCCACAAATAGCTGGAAAACTAGTTGTGGCTGGGCAAGACAAGTACATGAATAACACAATTATCTAATAAAAGCGAAAACCTTAAACTATTAGAAAGCCTTGCAGATTGCAACTAAAAATAAATAAAACACAGAAGTTATGAAATAATAAGTGATCTAATTAACACGTTCGGCCTATCAGCCAAGTTGACTCTTTGACGGGTCATCGGGAAACTTTCTCTAGTTTGTCCTTTAATTCCTTAACTTCATTTCGCAAAGTTTTATTTTCCTTTTGTAGCTTGTCATTACCCGTCATACTGAATGGTTTTCAGAATATGAAGGTTCAGGATAACAGAAGAATTCGTGAATTAAGATCGGAGCAAACAAAATGCATCTGCACAGCTCAGTGCACACAGCTCTAGTTTTCTCCTTCCTTTTTATTTTGTATCTATAAAAGTGTGAATGATTACATAATTATTTACAGTTCGTAATTAAGGACTGTCTTAATTCCAATTTTGCCTGTGAATTGTTTGTTTTCTAAGAAGATTTCTTTCTCAATTATAGAGTGTTTATGTAAGTGTTATAAATAATATTACAAGTTTTGCATTGCTCTACCTAATGATGGCTGAATAATCCAAACCGATTGTGACATGCTCACGAGAGTTTCTGGCCCTTGGTAACCACCTTCGTTAATTGCTTTGATCTTAAGCAACCTGCCTCTGCCATTATTGCACCAAGAAAAGACCCTGGAGACTCTTTGGTTTGCAAGCGGTTAATAATCATTACAGAATCTCGCCGATAGAAACAAAGTCATCATGAGTTCGCATCCTTGTGAGCACGCAAGCTAAGGCTTGTCACGACCCGCGATTTTGCAGGCATCATCATGCAAATCTATAGGCACCGTTCCATAATGTCCTTGATGCATACTTTAAGGATAAATTTTTGTGATACTCATTTTAGGTAAAGTGACTGCATATAGTTTCTGTTTTCCTGTTTTTTCCTCTATTTTATTTATTATTTTTTGTTTGTTAAAGCATGGTTATTTGGTTTTACTTAATCAGCGGTATTTTGGTTAGGCACAGGACCAGGCAGTTGTGGGATGTGCAATTAATGTGTTTGCCACATTTGTTTGAATTTAGATTTGCATTTGTTTTTCCTTTTATCGGTTTTCATTTAGCCAGCTGGACATCTCTACACATGTTTGTAAGTTTCTTTTGCTAGTGTTTCTGTATTTCATCATTTCCTAGTGTTAGTGTAATTTTTTTATTCATTTTCGTCTTCTGTATTTTATCCAGAAACCATGTTCATGAGTTTGTCAGTCATGCAACACCTACATGTAGCTCACTGAATTAAAGATTATGGTTTTGGTGGCTACAGTGACCAAGCCACAGTGAGAACACTGAACTGCCACATTTCCTGTTTTTATCCACCTATCCTCCTATCATCTTTCAGATGAACATACATTCCCACATTGTGGTATAATGACGTACAAGAAGTGATTCCAGCTGACTGTGATTTTCTTTTTGTGACAGTGATTGTTTTGGAAAGATTTTAACCCTTTTCAAAATACATAGTATTTGACGACCTCAAATAAATAACCTCACACAAACATAGATTTGTACCAAAATGTGTCTTACAGTTAGGAACAAAAACAAAAGATCTTCAGACAGAGACAGAATAGTTCTAGCACCCTGCCTTCCTCATTTGAACATTTTAGAGTAAAAAGCCCCCCAACAGAAAAAAAAAATGCTAAAAATTTTTGCCAATCCAAGAGGACACTTTGTTACATTTAATTCATGGAGTCGAAGATGGTGCATTTTTTGTTGACAAATCCTCAGTTTTATACATGTACCATGGTACAGTGTACACTGTAACTTAATAGGTGCTATTTTGGTTCTTACCTCTGACCTCTGCAGACTCTCACTGCCAGTTTCTGTCAGAAAACTTGTCCTTGCATTGAGTCTTTCAGTCAATTATCTTCACGAGTTGATATACATTAATCCAATATTTTAAACACCAAACTGTAAAAAGCAAAAAACAAAAGAGTAACTACCAAAGGTAGGAGCCATTTTGCCAAGATTTTGGGAACTTTCTCTGTCAAAATAGTCATTTCAATTAGGTATAAGTTTTAAGGTAAATGTCAAGTATGCCGAGAGAAAGATGGGGGAAGGTTTTATTTCTTTTGGTTGTAACCCAAGCACTCAAGTCTGCACTTACATTTTAAATATCTTAGTTTTGTGTCCTCACTTTGTGTCAGTTCAGCGTCTTCTCTTATCTACATGAAGTAAACCAAGAAGAAAATTTATCAAAGTAAGACAATGAACTCACTTAAAAAGTAACTGTGAATACGATTTACTGAAATACTCTTTGACCAGAATAAGTATAGCCAGTTCCCGCAGACTTCCTTTGGGGTTGAATCGTCACACATTCGTTACCCCAAAAGAAGTCTGCGGGGAGGCTAGAAGAAGTAAACATTTCTTGCTACATTTTTAATATCAGTATTATTTCACATAAACTTAGTTATGCCTTATCTTCTAGCCCTAATTAACCCCTGGCTATTTTAGCAGTCTACCCAAATTGAAAGAACACAAAGTACTAATTTTTGGAAGCAATGTGAGAGCGTTTGTTCTGCCAACTTTCACAGACAATGTAAAAAAACAATACCTTGTAATCAACTCCTTAAAATTTGACAAACTTTTTATATTGCACTCCTGAATCAATGAAAGCCTTAAAATAAATTTTGAACAAAGAAAGAAGTGTGGTGACACAGTCAAGTTTCTCGAGAAAGCTATTTTCTTTAAAATTTCAAAAAACTGTTTGTTACAATTTGGTTAAGAAATGAGGGTTACAAACTCAAAATTTTAGGCTTGTTTTCAACCATCCATGTTACCATGGCAACAACCCAAACCTCATTTTTACTCTAATGAATGTCATGTCATAAATTTATTTCAAATTATGTCACCTTAGCCAAATTTGAACTTTATACCTGAAAAGAGTCTTACTTAACAACCTAATAAAAGGAAACAATCCACAACCTACAATATATCAAACTGTATTCAGCTATACTCTTGACTAATTTTTATGGTCAGAACAAAATGCAGACCACAGACTACAAACAGGGTACAAAATGCAGTGTGCATACATGTAGTACTTATTTGCTAGGTACAAAAAGCCTGGACTGTGACAAAAAATATAGTTTAAAACAACTCTTAGTAACAAACTGTGAGAATGCAGGGTTTATCTTCAAACACGCCAAAATAAAAGTTAATAATGTCATGCAACCAACAAAAAACAGAAAGGAAAAGATACAGTGTTGGGCCACATGATTTTTGGTACTCTGTTGTATGTTCTATATTGACTTTTCTTTCTCTTTTTTCCTGTTTTCTACTGTTTTTTATTTAATAATAATAATAATAATAATAATAATAATAATAATAATAACATATTTAACCAGGGTAAACCCATGAGCTGAAGCTGTTATAAATGGGTGCCCTGTATTTTCAGTAGTTATTTGAAATGACAGCCTAATTTCTAATTTTCTTATGGTGTTTTACCCTCATTTGCAAACTATAGTCAATTTAGCTTAAAGTACTAAATGTTTGGGTCCTGTATCCACTCACACATGTGCTTCTAAGAAACACCGTTGAACACCTTCTTTTCTCAGGTCATCAAATAGTTCTGTCGCGGTATACGATCAAAAGCTTTTCTAAAATCAGCAAAGAATGAAAAGAGAAGATTTTGCTGTTTCTGTGGCTGAAAGAGTAGTTGCGGTCAACCAGGACATGTGACAAATAGTTTGTCTACAATTTTTCTGTAGACCATGCACTCAGATAAACAGGGTACATGTAATAATAATAATAATAATAATAATAATAATATTTAATACTTATGTAGAAGGATTTTTGTTTTTTCAGCTGTTTTGACCTCAGTCTGCATTCTAATTTTTGTACCTGGTCGGCGGTCTACATTTTACTGACCGAATTTGCATACATTTTAACCTCTGTTATATCAAGGTCACCACTAAACTATAATTTATAGGTCATTTACCTTTAATTTTAATTCTTGTTGGATAAATTCTTTTAGGCCATTCTTTCACTAAGCATTATCTGTGAGGGATAGAGAGATGAACATTTAAGTTTTATGAACTAAAGTGACAACTGACAATTGGTATAAGAAACAAGAAATGGTGCCCCACATAAGCCAACGCTCTTGTAAATATAATCTGATATGTTAGCTATTCTTTTTTGGTTCTATACATGTAACTGTGGTGCTTCTCCACACTTTCTGCTAGACCAATTGGACTATTTTGTCAAGTTTTTTTCCTGTTATTTATTACTCTGTCACTATGAGGAGTTGCATGGACCTGTACTTCTGGGTGCGAATGCTATTATTATCTACAACCCCGGAAAAAATAGAATACCTGCAGTGAATGAGCGCACTGAATAATGACTTTGTACCATGACGAGATCAAAACAAGCTAAAATTGTCACTTTTAAATAGCTTTGGAAGCTCTGAAAGTTCACTGGAACATCTTCAGACATTTTTGGCAATGTTCAGAACTCTTCAGAAAATTGTCAGAAATCTTCAAAGTCACTGGGACATTTTGAATTCCAGAATTCCCAGTCATGACAAGATGAATATCTCACACATTTGACTCAGAAAAAGTCGACAGGTATAAAATAATAGGGACACTCAGTCAATTTCCCCTGCCCTCCCCTTCTCAAGCTTTCCCAAACTGCACCCTCTAACAAAACTGCAAGCAGTGAAGGGATTGCACAGCGCATGCCTAAAAAACGGAAGTATTTCAAGTTTTTTTGACCAAGGTTGTAGCCAAATTAGTTGTTCTCTTTATTTGATGCATTGCAGAAGAAGAAATTTAATCAAACACTTCTGTTGATGTTCGCAGGTCAGTTTAAAATATTATTTTGCCTCCTGTATTTTACCTCCTTCTTATATTGATACTAATAATTGCTTGCTTTGAAGGATGTCAAAATTAATTAAATAGTGGTTCTGAACAAGTCTGCAGAGTATGACAGAACTCAACGAGATCTTGCGCATGCAGAGCAACATTTAGCCACATGCACCGCATGCAATACAATCAACGAGAATACGCGTACATGCTAGCTCCTGCCTCCTGCCGAAAAGATGAAACTTTCTTGGAGATCAAAGCAATATTATAAAAATGCAAAAGAAGTTTGGTTTTTAACCAGTGAATTGACAAGATCTTCAAAACATACGGTTCATTGTGTAAATAAAAAATATTCTTTAAAATGCCTTGGTAAGTTTACAACATATGTTGCTGGATGCAACCTGTAAATAGCATTTCATAGCATCTCAAAATAAACTTTTCAGATGGGGGAAATGCCCTCTTAAGGTTTGCACCTAAATTTAATGCTAAAACTTCCTATTAGTGGTGTTTCTTAACATGCCCAAGGTCTTCTCAATCAAGTCAATGGTGTATGTACCGATACCCGTACAAACCGATGCACATGCGAAGCAATAAAATACAGACAGGAAGCAAATCTAATGATGACTGCAATAGGCACTTTTGCCCTTTTTCTGATAATTGTTAGTTTCCCCAGAGAAGCCAAATAATTGATGGACTAGAATGCCGGTGATTAGAGTAGGCCAAGCATAGGAAATTAGAGAGTAAAGCAAGAGGGGCAAAACCTGGGAAAACAGCACTATATTGCAGAGCCTTCGATGTATTTTACTTTATGGATAACAGCCCAAGTGTCTCAGAGTATTCATTATGGTTAAACGTGTTTAAAACTTAGAAGGCAGAGCATTCAATGTATTTTACTTTATGGATAACAGCCCAAGTGTCTCGGAGGTTTCATGATTATAGTTAAACATGTTTAAAACTTAGGAGGCTAACCTGTGTAGTGGGAGAGAAGCTTTAAGAAAACTCGAGGAAGCGGTATGTTGTCGATTTTGCCAGAGAAGTGTCAAACTTTTAAAAAATGTATACAGTAAAAGTGGGCTTGGCTCAACTTGGCTTGTCCGGTGAAAAATCAAAACTGCCTGTCGCAAATAACTAATGATGCTTCCTCAACGACAGAAAGGATCGAACAGAGCAAAGCCTTTGAAATAAATTGTTCATCTGTTGTCAGGTTTCGTTTGTAACCTTTTCCTGCTGTGTCACTATTGTTGTCCCTCCCTGGTATGCATCAACATTGACAGATTTGGTGTTATATACGCCGCCAAGATGCTTTTCCCTCTGTTTTCTCAAAATGAAAATCACGGCAAGTTGAGAGTACATTTTAAACTCCAAGTCGGCAACCAGTGAACCAGTTTGGCTGAAATTTGGCCAACTTACTGTCTAAAAAACTTTGTCTGCGAGTTTTGATTTCTTCTTTCGTTTTCAAGTTAGAGTATTTTTTCAAAGATATAGTTCTAATAATTTGCTATCCCTAATTTCAACTGCTTATAACAAAAGAACAAACGCACTTGGAAAACATCTGAGACCCGATTTTTTAGTCAAACGTGTTAAGAAGCGAATGTGATCTTAATTGGCTTCTTCCGTTTATTTTTGGCTGGCCTGGACTTAAATTTACAGTAGCACCCACTTTCCAGCACTTTCACAAAAAGCTTCTTATGATCATTTCTGAATCGCGTTAATATTTTGATTTTTTAAAAGGAATAAGCGAATAATCTGGCACTATTAAGATTTCATAAAATGTACGGTTAATGGGGGGATTTATGAAAAGCAAAAGCGATAACGCCGATCATTGCGACGAGGGTGCTGGAGGGTGGATGATACCTCATAAATATGGCGCTTGTTTAATAAGCTTACTTACTTACTGCCGTGAATTGAATAAATGTATGGGGCTGAAAAGAAATCTTACCCACTTTAACACTGCCAAACTCTGTAATTGCTTAAAGAATCCACACCGACCGTGACTTGCTCATATGAGTTTCCAGCTCAAAGTAAATGGCTTTGGTTGTTTTTTGCGGTTCCCGCCGCCGCCATATTGAAATACGAGAAGACCCTGGAGACGAGTTTCCATTGGGAACAGTGACCCCTCCTCCTCCCCAACCCTCCTCCCCCTCTCCCCCCCCTCCCCCGCCTCCTTTTAGTGGTATTGTTTACTATTAACATTCGTTATGACTTCAAGAAAAATGCATTTTTAAGAAGGAGAAAAAATTTTGGATAGTCAAAGTTTTATTTATTTACATATATCAATCAATGACTTGAATCTCCGCGCATTCGAAGCCGCAGAAAAGCATAAGATAATGGTCACTTAAAAGAAAGTCCGTTTATGAACATTTTGTGCAAGATCGGGGATTTTAAAGTCACTTTGCTGAAAATTATAGCCCAAATAAACAAACAGGCTTTAGGTTTTAGTAAGATTCATAGTTTTTGCTCTATGGTAAGAATTTTTGACGGTTGTTCAAGTTTGGAACATTTTGCGGGCAACTAGGAAAAAAAACATTGAATTACGAGCACGATGAGCAAAAACAGCAACAGTAAACCCATCTTTTTTATTGCAGCTGACTTTCCCTTACTCCATTCAAGCTGTAAAGTTAGGTAACATAATATGTTGGTGATTGCTTATATGCTAAAACTTATAGCTGCATGCCTCTTGTTTTCATGTGTTCTATAAATTATGACACCCGCAGTTTTTAAGACCGTAAACGCCATGTTTATTTCTTTTTTTCCTTTTTAATTTTTATTTTTCATCTATCTGTTAATAATTGTACGCATAAATATAACTTTTTATTTAGACCGTTACCTTTTTAAATCTCTTGCTTTGTTTTTCTGCCATAGAGCTGGTGGACCGGATTTGCCGTCAGATGTAGGCGATTTCAAGTCAAACCTGAAGAAAAATGGAAAAATATGTTACAATGCCGGAACCACAGCGAAAAGTGTCTCATGCAGTTCACATTTTTATGTGTGGAATCCTTGCAAGTTCTTCGGCACCTTTTTTAGACACGAGAAGAGATGATGGTGTGAAATTATCAATAGCTGGCATTTACATTTTCGAATCTCCTGTGTTTCTGGTACAGAGTATCATCTCATACTTTGCAATAGAACGAACTGATTAGTTGGACCTTTACCTTTCTTTAGCCTTTAAACGCAAGTAATCCAGCCATCATGTGAAGCCCAGCAAACTACGAAGCCGTTAGGAACTGATCCAATTCAAAAATCACTTGGAGCTTATTTGAAAGTGCGCATGTGTGAATAAAGTTAACTCATTATTCGTTTTTTCTTATAAAAGTCAATGAAATTTATTGTATTTAAAAACACCTATGGAGTATCATGATTTACATGTTTCTTCTTTTGATTGGTGTAACGGAATTGCGATCAGTGCACGTGCACACGATAAACCTAAGCAACAAAGGGGAAATGGTTCACTTTAACCAAGAGAGAATGACTGTTTTAGGCCTAAGAAGCATCTTACTCTGAACAGGATTATATGCTTCTGTTTCAACCTTCAAGACTCAAAAGAGACGAAGAAACGTGAGAGGAAAAAGATTACCGTATTTATTCTATTAACCGCCCTGGACGCTTATTAAAGTTTTGGACCTTGAGGGTGGGCGCTTATTAAAATTTCACCATTTTCAGCAAGTGTAGTATGTTTATTTTGCAACAAAACAATAAATGGAAATAACAAAACGCGAAGATGTAACAAAGCACGGTTCCTGTAAACTACTCTGAAGAAATCTCCGTTTTCGGCGAAGTCTGTTATTAGTACTTTAATATTCAATTTTTTTGGCCGGTGGGAGAGGGAAGGGGGTGTGGGGTGAGGGTGGGCCCTTATTTGGGTTTGAGTGGGAGGGGGAGGTGCTGGGGTGGGGGTTGGCGGCTTATTAACTTTTCCTGCCTTTAGGATCGGCGCTTATTCGAGGTGGGCGCTAATTCGAGGTTGGGCGCTTATTCGAATGAATACGGTAATAGCCAGCAAGACAGAAAACTGAAGCTTATGGAGGCACACTACCTTTTGAGTGGTCTTCTCGTTTTTATCAACCACTACTCTCTTTGGATCCAACATGAGGACATTCATGTACAGCCACTTGGACGACACCCACAGTGGGTGGGTGTCTGTTATTAAAGGGGGGTGGCTTTATTACTGTCCAACCAGCCTTGCAAAACATGTCGATCTGATGACAAGGCCCGTCAGGATTGGACAGCACTAATCCGGGTCCGATTATGTTAAACGCTGCGTCGATGTGCATTGGATTTGGATCGTCAAATGACAGCTTGTGAACTCTATATCCTTGTTTACCCAAATGACGTCGCATCCATTCGGTACCTAAGTTGTTAGTCACCTGAAATATGAAAGGACAAAATGAAGGATGTTGCGTCTTCTAATGATATAATGAAGCTTTAGAAAAGACGGCGACAGTAACGAGAATAATATCTATGCACGTACTTCACCCTTTATATACAAATGTTTCTGTCAGTTCAGGGGCACCCAACGAGGATATAGTTCAAAGCCACTAAAGCATAGCATTGTTGAACGTATTTTAGTATTCAAACGGTAGATATAGGCATATTTTTATCCCCTAAAAACTTTTCATCTGTTCGGATTTCCTAGCTGAAAGTCTAGTGATCCGAAGATTATAGGGATAAAAACTTACCTTCTCGAAAATTTCAGCTAGGAAAAGGCTCCCGAAAATTCTAGGTGGCCTTTTTTAGGGTCAAAATCCGTTAAAAATGGCTAATTATACCATTTTGTAGATGTTCGAAAACCCTAGGAGAGGCAGGCAACCAAGAAATTTTACAACAAATGCTCCGAAAATTCTAGATCTCAAATCGTCTCCCGAACAGATATTTTCCCGAAAATTGCCGTTGGGTGCCCCTGTCAGTTTCCATTCAAGACTGTAACGTGAAATCTTATAACGCAACTTTTCATCTGTTTTATAGACGACGTAAAAACACAACCTCGCTTTTTTTTAATCTTTCTAAACTTAAGTGCGGTCCCCATGAATTAAACTCAAAACAAAATCGTTTATTTTGACTTAACAGGCAGGTAAATCGGAAACTGAGAAGCAATGAAGCTCAGGGAGTGAAAGAAAATTAACTTTTTAAAAAGTTAAGTTTTCTCTACCGTTGTTGTCGTCGTTGCTTAAGCTCTCTACAATAAAATTGTTAAGGAAGCATCATCATTTCCTGAATCAAGGTCGTTTGGCTCAGTAACGATCACTCACTATAGAGCGTTTTCACCTACGTGACCAGTGAATTAGTTAGTTTTTTGGAACAAAAGAAAGTTATTGCATGGAAAAGAGTTTGAATGGCACAGGACTGGATTGGTACACCAATATGGCCGCGGGCAAGTTTTACTACCGTAAAATTCCGAAAATAAGCCCCTCCAAATATAAGCCCCCCAAACTTGTAACGCAAAAAACCCTCCGTTCAATCGCCCCTCCAAATATAAGCCCCACGGGGGGCTTGTACTTAGAAATTGCCCTCAGAAACAAAGTAGAACAAAGCCAAAACGGTAAATTTACTTCCAACTATAAGGCTAGCCCAATCAATTTTGAAACGCAAATTTCCCTCCATAGATAAGCCCCTCCAAAAATAAGCCCCTCAAAAAGGGCCTTTGAAAAATGTAGGCCCCGGGGCTTATTTTCGGAATTTTACGGTATTTTGGAAAAGCAAGGTAGTCGACGTGAAATCCCATAAAAAACGCTCAATACTAAGTTCTGTTGCACACGACCATCGTTCAATAACCGTCCAATGCATTTCAATGGCATTATCTACGTATCGCTAATATACATTGAAAAATATTGCATGGTACAAGAGTAGCAAAGCCAGCTTAAATCTTTTATACCTGACTTCTTTGAACAAAAATATCCCGCCCTCCTCGAGTGAAGTGCGCAGCGTCAGAACAAGGTTCAAACTCAGTGGTAACAAACTTTCCTTCGGCTGCCAGCTGATGCCTGTCCTCAATCCTGAGGACATAAATGTAACAGATAAAACAGTTTGCTTACATTTTATAAGTTATTTGTTAACTTAAGTTGGCAACAAAATTTTTCAAAAACCGAGTCAAATGGCCCAGACATCTGTCAGAAAATAAAACTGCCCCCACCCCCTCATTTCAAGTTAGCTTCTTTGATGTTTTCTTTACTGGCAGCTTGAACAGCACCACAACATTGTTTGGAAGGGATTGGTGGACGGAAACCTTGCTTATTCCCTTTTGAAGTGAGAAAATTATTGTACGGGATCTGTATAATTGTATGATCATGATGATAGAAGATCAGAAAATAAGAAAATAATATCATTCTAAAAAGGTTAATAAAATGCTTACGTCTTAAGAAAAGAGAATTAATGGTCAAATTTTGCGATGCTTAACATTTTTTCTACCACCTGGTAAGTCAAAGGCCTTTTTAGCCAGCTTCTCCACTGACTGAAGGACTGGCTACGAATGCAATTTTTGCTATTCACACGCACTTGTCTTTTGTTCTCAGCCTCCACCTGTTCCTCATGCAGTCGGCAAAGAGTAAGGCTCTTTGTTAAAGTTAAAACGTGGTTACGAGCGATTGAGCTCTAAATCATTTCTGAGCCCTGATAAAAAGCGACCTGGATAGGTGAAGGTGTTAAAATTCAAGATGTTTACCTGATTGTACAGGTCGTCACTCATAAGTGGCTTGGGCGCAGTAGTCTATTTGGCACCTCGTTTAAAGTACTCCTTGAGAAGGGGCCTGTAAGCGCGGTATTCAAAGAACCGTGATCGCCAGGCCATGGGAGCCTCGATGATCTCATCGCCGACAACAATCAGAATGTCTCGTGGCATAGCTGCGTACATCCCAGAAGACGTAAAAACTGGAGTCGTGTAAACCTACAAAGAACGGGGGTGACGATGCCAAAAAAAAAATCGTCAGCCAAAACATCAATGAGGCATAGGAGGATGCATTGATGAAGAACGGGTGATCTTTGTGTCATGCAAGGGACAATCTGTGGAAGCCTTGTTATTCATTTAAAATATTTCTCCGTTTCTGATTGGCTAAAATCACACGCATAATTCATCGTAACCAGCTATTGTCGATCAAGTTTGGAGGAATTTTGTCATATTGAACTGGTGACGTCAAAAGTGCAGCAAAGTTGCAGACATTTTACTCGTTTCACCAGGAAGGAATAGGCGAACTATTGGCTAAAAACAGTGAGAAGACAACTCGAAGAGTGACATCTACTATCTGGAAAAAATATTGTGACGCTGAACAACCCTTTAACTCCTAGACTTACCGATTAACGTGCATAATCGCAGATGAACTTAACTTCGATGGAGGTAAGCATGTTTTAGCTTGTTTATAAACTAGGAATTATTTTGACAACCTCGTTCGAGGTTGTTATTTTGAATGAATGGTACAACAATTATTGAATTCGGCTTTTTTGATGTTCGGGTGTGTCATCCCAATGCAGGCTCTTACAGAGACTTGGCTCCCAAGGCAGATGTTCAAAAAGTATGGGAACGAGAAGAGGCAGTATGCGGAACGGAGTAATGGAGATCGAACAGGGAACATTCACTCCCCTAGTTTTCACGACCACAGAAGGGATGGCGGATGAATGTGTTAAGTACCACAGCAGACTTGCGGAGCTGATCGCAAATAAGAAGGGAGAAAGTTTCTCAAGCCGCAATTTTCCTGGATAAGAGCTAAAGTGCATGTCTTTCGCCATCCCACGCTCTGCGATACTATGCTTGAGAGGCTCAGAAGACGACAGCTAGACTTTGTTGACTCAGATTTACAGATCGAAAACTTTAGGGCCTGCATGAATTAATCTTTTTTTTTTTTCAGGAACTTTTGAAAGAATTAGGAGTTTGGGAATACGAGATTTTATTCTTTTTAACTTCTTTCTTTTTAATATCAGAGACGGATAATTTTTTTTTTGTCATGACTTTATAATTTAATTTTAAGAAATTGAATTCGGCTTTCGTATCATCTGAAGACTTTTATTAAAATATGGAGATCCCAGAAGGTCACCCGTGTTATCCGCCTATGAAGATATCGGAGGATGTTATCCGCTGAGGCCGTACACCCTCCTCGATTTCCATAAATCTTCAGACGATACTCAGCCTCATTCAATAATTGTGTGTTATATAATTTTTTGGGCGTAAATTGGCGTCCATGAACCAGTAAAAAGATGACAAGCTACTAAAATGTCTATCTGTGATTTTTAGTGTGTATTCACTATGCTTTTCATATGTAGTTCCAAAATTGTTCAAATAAATCATTGTACTAAGAAAATATAAATTCTGGGCTTCTCACTAGTTTTACCTTTGAGAAGTCGATTGCTTCAGGACGCCGCACAACGACTCCTTCGTGCCGTAAAATCTTACAAAATTCCTCCACTTCGGAGTGCGCTTTCCTAAGATGTTCTTAAGGAAACGATCGACCTCCAAACCGACGGAAGAATGGCCAGTTCTTCTCATAAGTGTTTGCTTTCACTTCAGCAGAGAACTCCGGTACGGTAGCTCCTGAGACAAAATCGGTATTTTAAATTCAGTTTGTTTAAATTACACAGATGTAAGCTTGGGGAGCTGAGCGTAATTTAGGCATAGTCCATAGTCATGAAGAATCCAACCGCTGAACTTCGGTCGAAACCAAAGGAAACCTTTATCGTGATTTTCTTATTCTCCCAGTATTGTAACCCATTTTAATTTTATCGAACAAAGATGTATACAAATACGTGCGTAGCTCTTGCAGTGACTGAGGGTGATAGTGTACTGTATTTTTAAAGTAAGGGTTTTTGCGTTTGTGAAATGAGACTTACGTTTCGATTGTATATGGTATATGCACACTTGTAAACAAGCATTAGACCGTCTTCCGTTATTACAAATGTCTCGATCGCGTTACAGTTTCTTTACACATTATATAAACCGCAAACCAAGAGACTAAGGACTCGCAAGATCGGCTTCGGGCTACGTGCCGTGCACCAGCGAGGATATGGCTTGCGGTTATTGATTTATAACAACAAAGTCGATCTGGGTCAGATAAGAAGCAAAGAAATCGTTTACAGTAGATTCATAAAGGTCCCATTGGGCTAATTAATCTTGCTAAGCGACAGGTATAGCCGGACATTTTTCAAGGTGAGACTTTAAATGAGTAATTTATTCACACGAAATTCCTCTGGACCCTGTGCGATAACATGGTCGAGCGTTTGCAGAGACGTGCTGCGAGAATAGTTTACTCCTCTTCTGGGGCGGAGCTGTCTACGGATGAAATCATTATCAAATTGGGTTGGAAGCCTTTAAACGAGCGTAGAGAAGCCCATGTCCTTTCTCTCGTCAAGATATGTATTAGAAACGACGCACCTAGCTATCTTCGAAATTACTTTAAGTTACGCAACTTTCACTTTCATAGCGATAACACAATAGGCTACGAGTAGTCCCCCATTTTTCCTCAGGGATAGTAGAGCGAGCAAAACGCGAGCGCGCGTGAAAATCACGCGCCTTTTCTCGCGTGGGGTGATTTTCACGCCCGCTCGCGTTTCGCTCGCTCTACTATCCCTGAGGAAAAATGGGGGACTACTCGTAGTCTAATTACACAAGAAACAGTGAAAATTTAATTTTGGCAAAAGTGAATTTTAAGTGAACGCAGCAATCATTCTTTTACAAAGGGGCGATGATTTTTAATAATTTTAATAAGTCTTAATTCGTATCTATATTATATAAATAGTTTTTATAGCATCAACTTTTATGATTTGTATAGTGTTTTTGTTAGTCTTTTTTTCCTTTTAGTTTTTTAGCTAGATTTTAATTAGCAGGACCGGCATTAACGGGCACCAGTTTTTCTAAACTGACGCAGTCATCCTGGGTAAACATGTTCTTTTATTATGCAGTGAAAACTTTTGTATGCTATATACAGTTAAAATAGTGTGACGGGGCGCGTGAGCGTAACCCGTTAACTATAGTGAGAACTTGGTACCGGAAATATAGATTGAAAAATTGAAAAAAATATATATAATTATCACAATAAATAATGCTACATAGTATGGATGTCCATAAGGATGTCTACTATCAAAGTTAAACACAGATTGTATATGCCTTGGACACCTAGCTAGTAATGCCATGTCATTACAAGAAAACGACCAATCAGAGCGTGCGTCGTCTTGTAGCCATAGAATAAAATAATATCTTACCAAGGTACCCCAAAACTAAAAAATGTAAGCAAAATTATTCTCAAACGAAAAAACGACGATAGGTGGTGACGAAATAAAAGAGGTTAAAAATGGCCAAAACTGAACAGGAAGCGAAGTAAATCGAGCTGTGTGACGTTGTCCACGGTCGGGTACATTAAATAACAAAAACATTACTAAGAAACGCTTGGTATAGTATTTGGTACAGGAATAACTTGGGGACACCCCACTATTACCGGCCAACTCGCTAACATAAACAAATGCTGAATCCACGGAAAACTACGTACGTTTGACTGCAAAAAAAAAAAACTCCTGTTACTCTCTTATGTCTCCATTACGGACTTGGGCACATTTCTTGGTGCCGATATCACAACAAAGTTCGACATTTGCTTCTCGTTATAACCGACATTAAGCACCGTCTTCAGTTAGTTTTGGGCTTTTTCCTGCACCTATATAGCTCAAAATTCTTTCTTTTTAAATCGTCTGTTTGTATTGCAGTCAGTAATTTATATCCAAATGCATGTCACCACTCTTATGCACCTATGTTCCCAAAAATAAAGTTAGTTGCTTTTCGCACCGTGCGCGCTATTACAGATTCTTACCACTGCGGCGATAACAGCAGTCTAGTATAGTCAGTTCCAACCAAAGCAGCAGGACTTTTTATCTTGCATTCGTCCATTGTAAAAGCAGCTGTGAGACTGTAGAATGTTTGAAGTGTACTATAGTTAGTTAGTCACCACCACCACCACCCCCTCCTCCTCCACCCCCACCATCGCATCCACCTCCACCTCCTCCACCACCGCCATGGCATCCACCACCACCACCTCCTCCTCCTCCTCCACCACCACCATCACCTCCACAAGCCCCTCCTCCTCCACCAACATCGCAACCACCTCCACCTCCTCCACCACCGCCATAACCACCAAGACCACCATCATCACCTCCCCCAATCTGATCTCCTCCACCACCACTGCTGCACCCACCACCACTGCTGCACCCACCACCACTGCTGCACCCACCTCCACCTCCACCTCCACTGCCATCGCCAATAAAGCCGTCAAACACAACAAAATTTTCCAGGTCACCAATAGCTCTAAAGCGACCGCCACCACCACTTTTAGGACGTTTGAGAATTCCGGTTGTGTTGAATCCTTTGTCGCTTGTAGCTCTCTGCTTAGAGGATGGCACAGATTTCTTGCTGGGCGTTGATATATATGGTTTGCAAAGGACATTGACTGCAGACACAGAAAGCGCTAAGGCAACGATTGCTGGAATATCTCGAGCCGTTGGGGAAATGGAAAACACTCCTCTATGCAAATCAACATGCAATGACGTACCTGAGTCAAGACAAACTAGGTACAGTCCACCCTTATAATTGCGTACTTCACACCACCTACTTGCACCGTGAATTTTAAAAAGCCTGATTTTCACTTGACCAGCGGATCGATTGAACATCTTTCCTCTTTGCCATTTTCCAATACAAATACCCCAATCTTTTCTACCTCTGACAAGCATCGCCCTTCCACCCTTCGCGTGGTTCCAATAAGCACATCTTGTGTGATCTTCAATCGCTGCTTTATCGGGAAGAGTGTCGAGATCTATTGTGTGAGAAGATGCAACAACAATACCGTCAAGACTGATGATCTCCACTGCCGATAGCAAACCTGTAGAACTGCGAACAACGCGGCACTTGAATGCTTCATACCCTCTGCAGTCTAGCAAAGTTTGTACAACAGATTCGCAAGGCAGTTCATTCTTTGCAAGATGTCTAGGTGAGAACATCGGCTGTGGAAAACTGAGTACCACAGACGCATGGTTGACCTCCGCGGAGTTAATTTCTGGCTGAACTTTAAGACGATAATGATGGAAATTCAACTGAGCTGTCAGCCTGACGATAGCTTTTGCAGACTTCACAGGGATATCGATCACCCAAGGCAGTTCAGATATTGTTCCGCCGCATGGAAATGGGTCAATAAAGGAGATCAGGCTCGTTTTAGATGAGCCAATGGCACTTTCAAGACCATTTTTTACCTTTTGGTGTAATGATACCGTTATATTGTGGAGGTTTTCATTGTCAACTATGCACTGGGATGTTATATTGCGACAGTGTCCACCTTGAATCGTTGTTTCCACAATAAGCCCGCCCGTAGGATCATAAATTCGGACAGTAAAGGTCTTCTTGGTGTCCACATTTACAACCTCTGCCTGCAAAATGTTCATGACATACGGCAGCCCTGGAGGTCTGGGATGAGGAGGGTCACCTCTGTGCACGGTTCCTGGTTTGTCATACTTGGAACACCATATTGGCCTAGTGCCAGTCTCAGTGCCATATGAAATGATTCCCTTGTTACGATTTGACTCTTGGCTTCCAGGGATCACAACTGCCCCAAACATTTCTGACGTCACTTGCTTGTAGTTCAGCGGATGATGTAGGTGTGCGTGCCAAATCAAGTCGATATCGGTACACGGAATCGTGGGAGTTTGGGGATGCTGGCTTTTGAGATACAAATGGTGTTCGTATCGCTCAACAGCACTAGCCAGAAACTTATTATCAGTGAAGTGCGAGAGTGATACTTGATAATAGAACTTGGACTGGCAATAGGACGCTCTCTCGATGTCATAACGAATTTTCAATCCGTATGGCTGAGTAAACGAAGTAGGATAGTTCAAGTCGACTTCAAACTGTTCTGTAGGATAGGTTTTCTCCCACAAGTATCGTGCGTTTTGAAGACCTCTTCCTCTCTGGTATCTGTCCATAGGAAAGTGGTCAACAACTTGAGAGACAATGTTCATGCAGTCCTGTTCATAATCGCGTGGTGACAACATGTGAAGATACCATACCCAAGCAATGTCTAATGGAGCTGCAAGGAGTTTACTGGCGCTACCCTCTCTAGCTGCCAGTGGGAGCCAGAACATTTCATATCTCCTAATAGCACTTTTGAGGACAGGACCAGCATACAAACTGGGAAAATCATCCACTAGAGCAAGAAAGTCTAGCTCTGTTTTAGCCTCCTGGATCAAGTTTAAGCAAGATTTCTGACTAAGTGTCATCTTCTATCTCACCCTGCAAAATATGCAAATTATAGTTCATTATGAGCTCGAGTCTGAACCTTCTGTTGTACATGTTGAGCACTATCTGTGTTCAGCACAGCGTGTCGTCAAGGCAATATCATGTGATCACCCATCTGAAGACTCTTTCATTCTTTACTGTTATTTTTCTCAATGTTCGCGAGCAATTTTCCTACATTTGTATATGAAGTAGAAATATTAAAGTATCTCGTGTGCCACTCAAGTTAACCCCTGGCGGACTCGATTAGGAACTTGTTGGATGACTAGCGTTCAATATCCTTTCGTGATGACTCCTACTTTCTCTCTCTCTCTCTCTCTCTGCAGATATAAAGTAGGGCATTTTTTGTCACTTTTCCTCCTTTCGTTAAAGCTTTCTTCTAAAGGTTACTCACAATTGCTTGTTATGATTTTTCGATGCCTAATAACTATACTAACAACCACACACTGTTTCAACTTTTTACCAATATTTTGATTGTTTTTACAGCTATTAAACATGTTGCGAAGTTGCAAAAATTCCCTACTCCGTGGATGGTCCTTTTAAAGACATTTTAAAGTGCTTTTTTGCGTGGATTTAGAGGTATTCGACCTGTTAAACTCTTCCTAGCCATTCACTCGTGATCCACAAACAGTCTCTTCCGAGATTTTGCAATCGACAAAAAAGCGCCGTAGTATCATATACTTCTTCATCCATTTGTGAGGTTCTGAAAACTCATTCGAAATGTGAAGCACTTTTTTTTTAAAGAAGTTGCTATATCTCTGGAATTCCTGAGTGTTTTCAGTTGAAATTCCCCAAAACACTAGCATATATTGCATTCTTTCTTCACAAAAAAACTGGCTCGAGGAAACAGCGGCTAACATTTTTTTTTTAAGTTTTTAGCGTTTTGCAATACGAATATATTGCGCGTTGCGTAAATGCCCTAATTGTCAAGTAGATTTATAGTCGCTTTAAAACTATCTGTTTTTGGAATAAATGGAAATGTTGTTACGTCAAAAGAATGCACTGATACAGTACTTTCAATCCAGAAACATATATTATCAAAACAAATACTAAAAAAGGCTTTTTCAGGAAAGAAACATTTTTTTTTCCGTGCGTATGTGCTTATAAGAATGCTACGCTCCTGAAGTACATAATTAAAAAAAAAAAAACCTCACTCAGCAAAATTTCGTATATTTTGAGGCTCCCAAACAGTACAACCCACTATTAAAGGGTGATGTACCAAGTTTTGCTGAAAGAGCTTTACGATTTTCAGCGTAATTGCCTACGTTTTTGGACCGTTTTGTAAGTGACCGATCCTCCCTCCAAAATTAGATTTCCATATCATTTTGATGGCGTCACTGGCCCTTTCCCCCCACACCCACTTCCTTTACCCATTCCCGCTGATATAAACTTGGTCAAGCTTAGCAGAAAATTTAATCAATTAATTTCCAAAAACGAAACACGAAAAACGGCTGTCATACATTTTACTTTTCAGTTCTCACTATCGGATCTGTACGTCCGCGGGTCTTTTGTGCTCTTTCCGCCTCCACCCTCCCCCTTTACCCATTCCCGCTGATATAAACTTGGACAAGCTTAGTGGAAAATTTAATCCATTTTTTTCCAAAAACGAAACTCGAAAAAAAGCTGTTATACATTTTACTTTTCAGTTCTCACTATCGGATCTATACGTACACGGGTCTTTTGTGCTCTTTCCGCCTCCACCCACCCCCTTTACCCATTCCCGCTGATATAAACTTGGTCAAGCTTAGTAGAAAATTTAATCAATTTATTTCCAAAAACGAAACTCGAAAAGCAGCTGTCGTACATTTTCTTTTTAGTTCTCACTATCGGATCGGTAAGTACGCGGGTCTTTTGTGCTTTTTCCGCCTCCACCCACCCCCTTTACTCATTCCCACGGATATAAACTTGGTCAAGCTTAGTAGAAAATTTAATCATTTAATTTCCAAAAACGAAACACGAAAAACAGCTATATTACATTCATTCCATTTTTCGCTATCGGATTTGTAATGTATGGCATGTGTAATTGCCTCCACCTGCCCCCCTTTACCCATTACCGCTGATACAAACCTGGTCATGCTTGGTATAAAATTTTATCAATCGATTTTCAAAAACGAAACAGAAAAAGAGCTATATTACATTCATTCCATTTTTCGCTATCGGATTTGTAATGTATGGCATGTGTAATTGCTTGGTTACGAGTGATTTCAGCAACGTTTACAGTATGACACTTTGTGATGCATATTTGAAGTGCCCGTAAAACGAAACACGAGGCGAGTAGCACATGCTTTTCTTGTCCTCTTTTTAATCGTGAAAAACATTTTTTATGAGGCCAAAAATTTAAAATGCAACATCAAATTTCCATGTTACGTATCTGCGACTACGCAGCATAAATGATTTTCAATAACATTGAAGGATTGTTCGAGAAAATGGAAAGGCCGCTTTTCTACGTTTCACCGTGTACTCAATGTCAGTGAAAAGCGGCATGGAAACTGTTCTAAACAGATGTTGGCAGTAGTTAAAACCATTGGCACTTTCCCATGGCACTTAATTTCACATTTCTATGAAATTAATCCAACATGAGATCGAAGAGGAGATCGAAGAAGAGATCGAACATGAGTTTAAGTTAAAAATTAATAATGGACAGGACTCGCGTAAACAAGGATTGTGGAGTGATGTTGCATTTTCCATTAGTCACTGTCAACAACAACAGTCCTATTCAGGACTATATATGTTCACCCGGACGATCACGCTCAACCTACTAAGAAGAATACATTATGAAAGGATATGAAACTGCCACTTATATAGGGGGAAAACTATGCTACATATTTAGTACTATTTTCTGATGCAGAATTTTCTTTGAAATCTGTTAGGGTTTACAACCATGTCTGAGGAACTGCTTGTTAGTATACAAAAAGCAAAATCAGACCTTGCAAAAGCACTAATGTCAGGAGTTAAAGAAAGAGTCGAGCAGGTAAGAAGATCATTTGAGGTTTATTTTATATACATCTATATCAGTACCCAAAACATTCATCTAAGAGGAATTTTGAGGTGTGCAGGCAATTTTCTAGCCACATGATTTTTTTTTCAATTTCTCTTGCATGAATATTCTTGGGTGCTTTGCCTCCCCAGCCCCTTCACTTCCCCATAACGTTTCTTATGATCTGTCCTTAATTATATGAAAGATATCATATATGAAAATCATGTATGAGAACTGCGGGGTGAAGAATTATATGAAAGAAGATCATCGCAGTTATAGAGGCAACTTTTGCAATTGGGAAAAGAAAGCCTGAAAAATTCAGGCTTGTAGGGGATTCGAACCCTTGACCTCTGCGTTACCGGTGCAGCGCTCTTACCATTAATGTTCAGGGCGCTCATTTCTATCCTTTGTTGTTACGTTAGTATTTGGCACATTCTGATTTATCTTTCATTGTTAAATTAGTGATTAGCGTGCTCTGAGTTTTCTTTCGTTGTTACATTAGTGATCAGCGCACTCTCCGTTATCTTTCATTGTTACGTTAGTGATCAGCGCGCTCTGAGTTTCCTTTCATTATTACGTTAGTGGTCATCGAGCTCTGATTTATCTTTCATTGTCACGTTAGCGATCAGCGCACCCTGATTTGTCTTTCATTGTTACGTTAGTGAACAGTGCGCTCTCAGTTATCTATCATTGTTACGTACGTTAGTGATCAGAGCGCTCTTATTTATTGTTCGTTGTTACGTTAGTGTTTAGCGCGCTCTGATTTAAATTTAATTGTTACTCTAGTGATCAGCGTACTCTGATTTAGCCTGTGAACAGGCCTTTGGTCGAGCGGGGAACTTTCCTTGCTATTTTTTTCCCAAAACAGAGAGCCTGTTCACAGGTTAGCTCTGATTCACCTTTCATTGTCACGTTACTGATCAGCGTGTTCTGGTTTATCTTTTATTGTAACGCAAGGGATCAGCGCGCTCTGATTTATCTTTCATTTTCAAATTAGTGATCAGCGCGCTCTCATTTATCTGTCATTGTTACGTTATAAACCCGTCATATAATTCTTCACCCCGCAGTTGTCATATATGATTTTCTAATATTCATAACTACATCATAATCTGTCCTTAAGTAATCCAATCTTTCTCAATATAGATCCTGTTCTTGTTAAAGCAAAGCTATGAAACAATGGTTTTGACTACTACCAAAATTTGAAAATTTTCCATGTTTTTATTTTACATAAAATAGGCAAGGAAAATGTGTTTGACGATATTCTAGAAAGAAAAAAAGCTTTTCTAGACTATAAAAACAAGGAGTTAAAAAAGGCGAAAAACTGGGATTTTTTCAAAGGGGTTAGTCCATGGTTTTTGTCCAAAATTTGTAATTTTTTACCGTGTTGAATTCACACGTAAAGGTTGAGGATGATCGTCCGGGTGAACGTAGTCCTGAATAGGACTGTTGTTGTTGACAGTGACTGACCTTTCGACAAAATGTGCGGTAGTCATCTTCAGAGTCGATCACCCGGACGATCACACTCAACCTACTTATGAGATAATTACATTATGATAGCATATGAAACTGCCACTAAGTAGAGTAATATACGGGGAAAACTATGCTAAATTGTGGGTACTTTAGGCCCAATAGACGATTTAGTGATCACGCGTATTAACTTAATTGCCTTTTGCTGAAATGTGTTAATTGCAGTGTAGGAAAAAATTGGAAGACAGGAAAAATGAATGGGTAAACAAACTCCGGATGAGAGAATATGAGCCCGTTGAAGAAGACTTCGACATTGATGATTTTCGACAACCGCCCCTCGAATGTTTGGATGAACCTAGTGATGAGGAAGTAGGAAGCACTGGTTGGGAAGACGAGGATAATCCCAACAACAGCGTCGACGAAAAGCAGAAGGTATCTAAAAAGGCAGTTAAAGGTGAAAACAACGGTGGCCACTCTCGTCAGACCAGAAAAAAGTATCTTTGCCCCATTAAAGGGTGTAAATCACAGGTACGTGATCTTCCTCGCCATTTGAGAGACGTTCATAAATGGGCCAGAGAAAAAGCTAAAAAGGCGACCTCCAGGTTTGGAATGCGGGAAAGCTTTTCGTCTACTAACATGGACGGAAAAGGAAAAGACCGCAAGTGGAAAGACTATCATTACCACCGCAAGTGCCCAATTTCAGGTTGTCACTCGATAGTAAAGCGACTTTCCTAACATTTACGGCAAGTACACAAGGAAATAAGGAAGGGCTCATCGGAATACAAAGCCATATTAAAAGAAGCTCGGCCAAGAAAACCTTCGCGATCATCAGCACTGGTGTCAAGAAGAACTGAAGAAGCCGAAATAAGCCTCAGTAGCAACAGTGATAATAACAGCGTAGCTGGAACTAGCGTGAAAGGTGACGGCAACAAGGATAGCGGCACAGAAAATTCAGATAGTATCAGTGATGGTGACAACTGTGGCTATGAAGGCACACCTGACAGTGATTCACAAACGGAAGCTGAAAGCACTGGCAATTTAGAAATGAGCCATGGCATATTTGGTTCTTTCATAAGCTGGCTACAGACAACTGATGGTGGAAGGAAACCGCACAAAATGTCGAAACAGCATGCCTCACAGGTAGAAAACATTCTTACTGTTATTGACCCGAACAAAGATCTGGCGTCGCTATTTGATCGTAAACTTATTCGTGACACTTTCTTAAGAGATCACGCTGAAAAAACCTACAAACCTGACACTATTAAATCGTACTTGTTAAGTCTACGATATTTCTGCAGCTTTGTCTTAACAGAGCGTCCTGAGGGCCTAAATGTGGACGATGCTACTATTAATGTAATTGATGAGAAAGCCCGTTTGTGGTCGACTTCATACAAGAAAGATTGTCAACGTAGGCATTTGGAGAAACAGGATGAAGATATTTCTAACTTGATAACAGCTGAGATGGTGACTACATTTGAGCAGAGTGAATCAACACGAAGAGCAGTGTCCCTCATTGGTCAGCTTAGTGGGGCTCACTGTATTCAACTTAACCAAGAACAGTACACACTAATTAGAGATTTCATCCTAACTGAAATGACAATTGCTAATGCCCATAGATCGGGTGTGCTAGCTAACATGACTATAGGTGAGTTCAACAAATCAAAGCATGAAAGCAATGGAAGCTACGTAATAAGTGTAAAGAACCATAAGACTGCATCCATTCATGGTCCTGCCAGAGTCGTGCTTTCACCTAAACTGTTTGGTTACCTGAAAGTGTACGTTAATGAAGTGAGAAGTGTAGTAAATTCGACCAAAGATGAAAATGACTCTGTGATATTGTCGTGGAGTGGAGCAAAGGTCGTGTCAGGCCAAATATCAACTGCAATCAACGCCGCTTGAAAAAAAAAGCAGGGTTAGAGGGTCATACCAGTTCAACTCTTTTCCGAAAGTCAGCGGTGACTGCCGTACATACCAGCCACAAAGACATGACAGGAAAACTCGCTGATCTCATGGCACACAAAGAGTCGACAGCCCAAAGGTACTACAAACTTCACGAGAAACAAAAATCCTGTGTTGAAGCAGCAGCCGAGCTTCCCTCCATTATGAGAACAACAAAAAAAGTACTGGAGGGAGGCGATTCCATTACTACTATGGAAGAAGATATTCCTGCTGGTACTAAAGATAGCACGGAGAAACATGTAACCTGGAACAAGCAACAAATAGAAGCCATAAGAGAGTTTTTCCGTGAAGAAATCGACCAGAAGTCGGTAACAATGGCACTTGTCAGAGAAAAGATAACACATAATGCGATCCTTTGCAATCACGACCCTAAAAAGATCTGCGACAGAGTTCGCAGTGAATGGCGTCACAAACGTGATGAAAGTCACTTGGAGACTGCTGGTGCAGTTGACCCTCCAGACGAAGAAGAAACTTTTTCAGACAAAATGAGTCGCTATATGTCAAGTTCAAGTGTTTCAGAATTTGTGCCACCATCAAATTCAAGTTACGTGAGCCGAAACCTTTTTTCCTTAAGGGAAAAGGAGGATCTCCTTCGGCTATTTAAGCCTACAATCAAGAGTGGAATTATCTCAAAACCAGCCGTAAAGAACATTCTTGAAGAAGACGAGGCTGGGAGGCAATTCTTAAAAAAGTTTACCGTAGATCAGATTGTCAACCGTTTAAAATATGAGAGGCGGATGAACCAAAAGCGTACTTAAGCTAGGTTCACTGTTATGTCTTTTTGTAGAGGTTTCTGATGCCAGTTTAAATAAGATGAAAAAGATGAAGCTGGGAGGCAACGCTTGCCTAAATTTACTGTATTAGAAATCCTTAACCGCTTACAATATGAGGGACGGATTAAAACAAAAGCATACTTAAAGAGAGCTAGGTGTTGTCTCTTTTTAGAGGTTTGTCATGTTAATATTAACAAGGCGTAGTTGATTTGAAGCTAGTTTTGTTGTCATGTTATGTCTCTTTTTAGAGGTTTGTCATGTTAATATTAACAAGGCGTAGTTGATTTGAAGCTAGTTTTGTTGTCATGTTATGTCTCTTTTTAGAGGTTTGTCATGTTAATATTAATAAGGCGTAGTTTTTTTGTCATGTTGAAATAAGTAACACACTTCCTGTTTTTCATGTTCAAAGTACTTTGAAATTTGATTGTGATAATTGATTGGTAAGTCGAACTCTTGCTTTCTTTAAAATTTCCAAGAGTTATTGTAAATCAAATTTTTTTTCGGCAATACTGTTATTAATTATCTTAAGTAAGGAGACTTTTATATTCATTGAAAGGATGAAACCCGAAATTAAAAAAAAAAGACAAGCATTTTAGTCTTAATATTTACATTATACTTGCTAATAATTTGACAAAAAAAAATTTTAAAAGGTTTTTCTCAGTCATCTGTATTGACAAGAGTTTTCCGCGATGCTCACAAAGAACAAGTAGCGTTGAGGTCACTTTAGACCTCATGAGAGCCTTCCTTTGGTGATTCATACCAGACTAAGATGGCGTTTCGCACATAATGACCGCACAGCACCCTCATTTATAAGCCCGACCAAATTGAAAGCCGCGCACCAAAAGAAAAAGCCACTTAAAATAAGCCCACGGCTAAACGGTCAAACATTTTCGTTGAATACCGTGTTGGAAGAGCATGTTGATCAATGATCGTTAAGCCATCTCATGTTGTGCATGACAAAAGCAATGTTGGAGATAAATGTTTGATCGTTGAGCTGATGCTTTATATAAACCTCCGCGGGGTTATGGTTGACAATTGCCCTCATATGCAAAATTAATCCATACCATATCGGAAACTGTGCTTAGACAAATCGAGGATGCACTCTAGTAACTCGCGCGTATATTAAAGAAAGTACTTACAGTTAAAATATACAGTCAGTATGCCAGAAAAAATATTTTGCTTGAACAGGGGCCGCGAGGAATCGGTAGGTAATGATGACGTTTCTATTGTTTGCGCCCGCAAGTGCGAAATAGTTAGGATGACGTAAAGACTGAAAATCCCAAAGGGACCGCCTAGGTAGATTTCGTGACATTTCTTGTGCAGTCATACTTGGATACTCTTTTGCGTTACGTGTTATCAGTGACATTCTGTGGAGCAGTTGTTTTTACCGTATGGAAAAAAGGACAGTCTTCAAAGCAGAGGGAGGGAAAAGGTGTCCAAAACACACAGCTGGCATGTCGTTGAGGTCAAATATCATAGGCTGCGGAATCTGGAGGGCTAGGGAAGTGCCCCCTCTTGTTTTTGTTTTTTTGTTGTTGTCGTTTTTTTGTGGGGAAGGGGGCACATCCCCCTCACTTTTGTAGAATAATAAATATTAACATTCTTTTATTTTTCCACGGTAAGTCGTTAGGACATAAATTTACTGTTTTGGAAAGTTCAGGTTAACGCCGACTCGTCTGTTTAAAACACGAAACAACGTAGGTAGCCGGTTGGATTTGGGACATTTCATTTTTTTTTTCGCATTCCCCCCCAACCCCTATGGAAGGCTATCCTACGTAGTTTTTGTTGCTGGCACCATTGAAGATTGCATCCGAGGAGTCCAAAATATGGTCGACGTCTAAGAATAGGACAGAGACCAGCTTTTATTGTTTATAGGGGGAGGGAGGGGGTGGGGCGGAAAATGTGGCTAAAGTGCCCTAACCCCCGAGACAAAAATGCCCTAATGTGATCAGAGTGCCCTAAAGTGACCGAAGTGCCCTAACCTCTGTGACAAAAATGCCCTAATGTGACCGAAATGCCCTACTCAATGTTACCAAAATGCCCTACGTGACGAAAGTGCCCTACCTAACGTGACATAAATGCCCTAATGTGGCATAGATGCCCTATTGCACGTTGCATAAATGCCCTTCAATCTAACTCTCTCTCTCTCTCTCTCTCTCTCTCTCTCTCTCTCTCTAGATTCATCTGTCCGTATCTGCTACGTTTTCTCCTTTTGAAAATTTTAAAACGTTTTATATATCAAACCTCACTTCTTTTGGGCAAGCCAATAAGCTAAGCTTTTACATACCCAAAATACGTTCTCCCTTTTCTAATTTATTTTACTTTTCCAGAATATTTTCTAGTTCAAACCAACTTAACGTAGCAAATACGCATTTCTTGGTACATCAACCAAAAATTTTGTAAAATTTGCCAAACAAAACGGATTTGTAAGGTCCTTAGGGTAATAAAAATTACTATTAAACCCCTCCGTGTTTGGAAATATTTTCAATTTTGCTTTAACTTAAATTAAGGACTAAACGTTGTTCTCAGGTACATGTTCGGCACCAGTTTCAGACTCAAGATTTTTTTTAGACAACCCAAAACGTATTTGCTGTAAAAATAATAACCCTTTGTGATACCTTCTCCAATTTTTATGTGGAAAGTAAGCGCTTCACAAAAGAAACTCTTCCGAAACAATTTTTGAGGTGTCAAAGCACTTTGAATGCATTTTTTATCCAAAAACCTATTCCGTAGCAAATACTCGTTTTTGCAGCAAATACGCACTTTGGTTTTCGCTCAGACAAGAAACATGTAATTTATTTCGAAGTTAAGCCGTGATAAAAGAAGATCAACAATGCATAATGATGCCTACCAAACAGGGAACAGCCAGCCAAAGTTAGCCATTAATATTACCCGCTGCAGAAGCTTATTTTACACAAAACTGTGTAAAATGCGGATCATAAGGTAGCAAATACTCGTTTTTGCAGCAAATACGCACTTTGGTTTTCGCTCAGAAAAGAAACATGTAATTTATTTCGAAGTTAAGTCGTGATAAAAGAAGAGAAGCAATACATAATGATGCCTACCAACCAAGGCACAGCCAGCTAAAGGTAGCCATGAATATTACCCGCTGTAGAAGCTTATTTTACAAGGAACTGTGTAAAATGCGGATGATATGGTAGCAGATATTTGTTTTTGCAGCAAATACGCACTTTAGTTTTCGAAATCCTATTTATTTAAACGTTATGTCTTGGAGAAGGAAGAAAATCAAAGGAAGATGATGTTCAATTTACAAATAACAACCATCAAAAGAAAAACAGAGATATAACCTGGTTTATATCCATTATATTTATCACACATTTGGAAATAACACGTGATGCAGTTTGCAGCTATTGCGCACTTTTGGCTGGAGTTAAAAACACCGGCTAAAAGGTCTAAAGTTAGCATACTATAAAGGCTTACACGCTTTAAGCCATGCAGACAGGAAATGACAATCTGGCTTTGAATGTCTGGATAAACAGTGTACAATTTTGGTCTATTAAATTCGTACCTCGTTCGTATAGAGAAGTCTCGCGCGCGGTTGCTCGCATGACCCACACTAGAGCTAATGATGCCACACATGATGCTAATAAATCATGCTTGTAAATTTTTACCGTTTTTTTTTACTTTAGTCAATGAACAAAAAAGACAAAAGGAATTGCAAGGCTCAGTTCTCCCAAAATATTACGCTCACTGACAAAAGAAAAATGATGCGCGCGTATCTAAAATTTTAATGCATGAAGAAGGGGTGCACATGCAAAACAGGAGGTTGTAGCTGGAGGACGCTTATCAGAGGAAGAATGTTGTAGCTTTTACAAAAAACTGCAAGGATGATAAATTCTCTTAGCCGCACGTCGTAAGGAAGGAGATAAACTTTCGCAGGACGGCGTACCGGCGCACTTTTAAAAAGCGGCTCAAACATTTTGCCAAACGAATGTTCCAATATATGGCTACGTAGGGTTTTATAGGGCTCTGTAGGACTGTAGGGTTCTGTACGCCTATGCAAGGTTAAGTAGCGCTTATGTAGGGATTACATAGCGCTGCATAGCTGTGTATGGCCGTACATAGCCGTACATAACCGTATATAGCCCTTATAGCCGTATATACTCCTATATAGCCGTCTATACTACTACATAGCCGTATATAACC